TTAAGGCGAATCGGCGCCCCCGTTTTATTCGTGGGAAGCCATTATGCGCAGAGTACTGACTGGGACGCTGCCGCTCCAGCGTCCCAGAACCTGCGCTGGAAGCCGCTGGTACCAGCGCCATTTTGGGCCCATAATCAGGCATGGCACTAGACGCTGGTACACAGTGGCCCTGATTTCTGCATTAGGGTTAGTTGTTTCCAGTTTAGTGCGCAAACTACCAATCGTTGGCAGCACTGTGAGATACCTGAGCATCTAGTTGCCGGAATGAGCGTTTTAAGCTCGCCAATGACAATCAAGGAACAATAGTGCTTTAATTCAGATATTCCAGCATTTACACGTGTTTGTATGCTACTTCTATCACTAAAGTTTTGCCAAAGCACTCTTCACGATACACAAATTTATTTATCCCGACAAACGGGCGCTTAGAAGCAATCACAATTGTTTGAGTGGGACTATTTCTTCAGTCGTGGAGCGAATAGACTGCTGCGCTTTGGTCATCTGGGTGGGGCCTCTCCTGTCTTCTAAAGTTGTACCTAACTATACAACTATTTTGCAAACGCGCCGTAAGCTTGCGATTCGTCTCAGAACCATACTTATGCCAGAGTAGTGAAGAGTAGACTTAAAAGGAAACTAAAGTCAACTAATAATTTACGTCAGAGTTAAAGCTCAATGTATGACAATTTCTAAAACGAGAATATTATCAAAAACAGTTCCCTACTAACCGAGAAATTAAGGTAAATGCACCAGTACACAAGCACCGATTTTTCAAAATCATCCCGATGACATCAGACGGACCGCCTACAATTAATCACTAGTAATCGATCTAACTGTGCTAAATAAGGAACCTTCCGTACATCAAGAGACGCAATAAAATGCTGCGTGTTCGTTTCTGTTTGATTCATGAAAAAAAAATAACCATCGGACGTTACTACGCAGAACAGGACGAGTGGTTCAAAAATTCAATTTTCTCGTGTTACATGGGACAGGTGATGCCGTCTAGCGCGGCGCAGTTTAAACAAAATTGTCTGTAATCTCGAAGCCAATGGCGCGAAATCGATCAATGGTCATTGTTGCTGCTCCTACTAGCGCAGTAAAGCCGTGCAATGTTGTGCATGGGAACAGTGACGCGAGTTGGTGCGGTCAGTCCGCTTCTGGAGGTGGGTAAATTGAAGTTTGCTTACCGGATTCGGAGCACTAAAATGTAATTTCATTTCAAAATAGGCCATTTTTTGCACAAAATAACACTACGAGGTTTCTGAACTGCGATTTCAACAATCAACTTCGACTTGATTGTTTATTTGAGTGTCCCTTTAAATGCTGTGGTTAGTGTGTCTAATTAATTGATTGATGTCCTAGTGTAACAAATGGTCTGAAGCAGCTGCACTTTATTGCGCTTCCCTGAAAAAAGCCTGCTGACGGTTTTGAGGCGCAAATATTTTGGTCTGTCTGTCTGTACATTTTTCTGCTTGTCCCCTCTGAACGGTACCAGTTACTCTAAAGGGCACCAGCCGATACTCTGTACGGCCGACCCCATGCTCAGCGGCCATCATGGTTGCTCAAGGTTGTGGGGTCTCGGTGAGGCGAACGTGCGCATCGCTACGCCACGCTCTTGGAGTGATCGGACACAGCAGACGCGGTCGGTACAAAGCACACAACATACATACATTTATTAACTAATTTAGACGACGTTATCGTCCGCCGAATGATACACGATTTTCAATTAACACGCTACCATAAAAACAACATAACGCAGTGACACACTAAACACACAATAACATGATAAACACACACTAACACACCGAACACTTTAACACATACCCAAGGCGGCGTCGCCAACGCCTGACTTTCCACGTGGGACCCCGGCGCGAAGCCCGCGGTGCCGAGCACCGGGGACCCACGCTACAGACAACCGTTCGCGGCAGCCGCCACGCGCAGAAGAAACTCGCTCAACGCTCCCCCACCACTTAGGCCTGCCTTCCGCCAGGGGCCACCACCGGCGCTACCACTCTACCAACAGTGGTACTCAAAGCGAACACAACGCCATCTATCGCCCGGCGGTGGTCACAACCGAAATAAAGCCTTGGGGCAAGACACGTGCACCACGCGGCGCAGACAACTTTACAGGGGGGTGTCAGCACCCCCACAAGGTTGAGCATTGAGGCTTGTGCAACAGTCAATAAAACGCAAGAAGACTGTGCAATACAGATTCACGCATTAGATAAGTTCAACTCTTCAGCTGCGCAGACGGGCCAAGATTTACAAGTAATATATGACAAAATGGCGCCTTTCACGGTGTCGATGTTCAGTGTCTAGCCAGCTGAGAGTGCAAACAACACAGGAGGCTCAGAAGCATCACCTCTTAGGCATTGCCGTGAACCAAAAGCGTCCGGTAAGAACGACGTTGCAAAAGCCTCCGAAGATCTTTCTTTTAATTCCAACCCACAACCTTCTTTGCCTGACAAGAATCTTGAGGCCTCAATGAGTACCTAACTATTTAATGGTCACATCAAGTTGAAAAGCCAAGCAGGCTCATGTTACTAAAGGTAAACTACCCCGTTACATTCCGTAACTACAGCAGTTACATGATCTAGCATGACGATGAATTAAGTGACATCACAAGCACAGTTACGACTCAAGGAAAGTCGTCAGAAACGACACCAACTAAAGGAAGGACAAAGTCAACATCCGAGCTCTCTTCGCTGAAAAATCATCAAGGAAGTCTTCTACACAAGATATTCAAACACCGTCCACGATGTGATCAACGGAGCCAACGCCACAGGAAACGACGAAAGAGACTGAACGTTATCATTTGTACAACGCACGAACATAGACATATTTCATTGAGCTTCAATTTATGTACACGCTGGCTGCAAGCACTGATTCCGTCTCAGCCGCGACACAGAATATAGTGCGTACGACAGAGAATTCGGCCCCTACGACATTCGACCTTTAAACGTTACAAGGACTTCCAACCTTGTTCGTTCTTTGCAGGTGCTGAAGTCGTGTTATGGTCAGCGCAGTTTCGCAAGACGCGGTTACCTCCTCCAGAACGCCACAGCTAGCCTCTCCCACCAGTGGTGCAATTATATACAAATTCCACATCCGAACGGAGGTGTTTTGTCGGTTTTGTCAAAAAGTGGGCGGTCCGCAGTGGTCGCGACGACAAGGGGAAGCAAACAGCCAAAGAGGGAAAAGAAGGCCTGCGTCATCATTTTGACGACGACTTGGGGACAGTAGAGCAAAGTAAAAAGTGTTAGTAACATGTTGAGAAGTATTTAACTATTATTGATCACTATTAAAATGTGTTGAAACTAGTTTTTAAACGTTCATGAAGCAATACGGCACAATCCAAACGTATTTTTACTGTTATTGTTTTGAAACAATGCTAAATTTAGCGGTATGGTTAGTGGTGGCGCTAGGTACAACCCAGTTTCAAGCAGTTACTGTTCTCATATCTCCACCACCAAACGGCGCAACCAAACTGGTAGGGGTTCTGTGGCACAACCTTCGAAACCGTTGGCTCAGTTGACCACAGTAACGGCGGAGGGCAAATTACCGCTAGCCACCAGCAGCAGCGGCTCATCCGCGTTTCCGAGGGTCAGTGCGCACTGTTGCTCGCCTTTATGACCGAACATTCACAGCTCGCGGCAAAAGCCATCGAGCTGCAGCACGGCGTCACGGTCGCCGACCAGCGGCGGCTGTGGCAAGTGCTCAGCGACGCGCTAAACCGCTGCCCCACAGGCGAGACGAAGAACCATGACATTGGAAAACCCCATGTTGTCTAAGTGCTCGGATGCCGAAAAGTCGCGAAGCCCTTTCATTTCAATCCAATCCACGCCACTTTGCAGCCATTTCAATCCATCCGGTTCTTTTCGGATGGTCTCTCCGACCGTTCCCTCGCCTTCCTCCGAGCACCGGAGAAAAACAGTCACGTGACACCTCGTTCCACGTCCCATAGAACGTCACAGCATTCGTCACGGCTCGAATGGGCCAATCGCGTGCGACTCAATGGAACAGACCACCTCCATCCGGATTTGGAATTAGTATATAATCGCACCACAGAGCTTCCCCATTTACCGTACTGCTGCACTCTTTTCTGAAGTTTTGCGAGTTTACGGAACACCACTGGGCCATGAAACCAATTGTTCATCTTGACATTTGTGACTTCTCAACTTGTCCTTGTTTATATTTTCTTGTTCGTAATTCATGCCTTCCTTCGGGGAGAGGGGGAATCATGTGACGTATGAAGGGATGGTTGGTAGAGGCCGAAAAGGAAGAAGTGCTTAATGGAATAAACATCGCGTATGAGCAAGGCCATGTCACCCAGTCATCACAGCACCACACACCCACACACACACACACACACACACACACACACACACACACACACACACACACACACACACACACACACACACACACACACACACACGCCCACACACACATACACACACAGGCAAAAGCGGCAGGCCTAATTTCAAACGGTTTGATTTCTCCTAATGATCATCTTCCCGTTTCATGATCCAGTTTTCCTTCGCCCCTTTATGTAGTCAACTATTCAGAACACTTTTTATGCTCTCTGTGGCCATACTTCACTAACTACACTGAAAATACCTCCTGGTCAATTTAGTCGAAAGGATTCCTGTGGTCAGAAAGCAGCCCAGAGTGAAGCTTTCTTCTCAATCGTTTTGAGCATTTTATCCTTTGTATAAAAAGCAGCTTCTTCCATGTTTTTTCATAAACTTACTGGCTTTAAGCAACACTATAATGCTTTTCAAAGAATCTCCTGATTCATCTTTGGACACAGCATTGCTACCACTCTATAGATATTAGCAACAGACCATCCTTATATGTGACTTATAGACGTACTAAATACGCTTATGCACTTTTACTCCTCCACACGCCCGTTCTGAGCATTCGCGGCACCTTAACGACGTACCCAGTCAATATTCTCTCGAACATCGGTGGTACACTCATTGTCGCCTTTTCCACTTGTGCAGGTGTACCGCATGGGTCTCTCACCGAGAGGCAGGTGCCTCATCTTCAACAACGTCAAGTTTAAATATTACAAGGAGCCACGTTTTGGATCTGATCATGACAAAGATCGCATGGAGGCCCTTTTCAATGCATTCTTGTTCAAATGCGATGTATACCCTGACAACGAAGCCCACGTACGTGCATGGCAATGATCTTGTTTCATTCTTCGAATCATGCTTGCCTTAGTAGAGCAACAGTTCCACATACGACTAATCATGGAATATATTTAGCTGTGTAAGTTTCTATCCTTCCTGATACTCGAAGGTAGACTAATTTTTTTATTGTATAAACAAGGCTCGCCACTTATATCAGTGTTGTGGTGGTACGCGGGCTAAATTGGGAAGTCAGTCAGGCGCAATGAATGTATTTTGCTCGCATGGTCCACTATAAGACTCATACTCACCAAGCATTTCTCAATCGAACATACTCGAACTCAGACTGAGTAAAATGATACTGAGCCACACTCACTCCGACTGATAGACTTATTTGGACCTTAGTCAGAGAGATTCTGTGTGAGTCGACTCACGATTTCGTTAACGTAAAATGATCTTTTTCGTACGCGGCGTCAATGCTCTCTTTAACGCCAATGTCTCACACAATACAAGCTATGAGCGGTGTGAATCCTATCAGGACATTTTCAAGTAATTTTCATGCCATATTTTGGTCAAACACTTCCCGTGAAACACTTCATGAAAAGGCGCAAGTACCTCGTTCGACCCCCCTGCTGCCACCCACGAATGCTGCATTTTTGGTATGCAACGAAGCACTGCACATTGCATTATCCTGGCAAACAGCAACTTCTTGTGTACTCAGTTTCTCGTCTAAACAACTGGGCACAGTACTCGCAACAACTTAATACACAAATGCACCAGCGAGAACCCTAAGCATGTAATAATAATACTATTATTATTATTATTATTATTATTATTATTATTATTTATATATTGAAAATTTTTACATTTTTGTACACCCCGTTTTGTGGACATACCGGGTGATTCAGCCACTTTCAAGCCCCAAAGGCATTCGCAATGCATTTTTAGATGATATTGTGATTTAATTTAAGAAATGGCAATATTTTGTGACTCCACTGCCAAAATTTTGATACCTACGACTAGACAAACTGTTATTGTAATTACGCACTTTCAGTACCAATACTTAGTCAATAGCAAGTAAAAGCTCAAAGTTTACAATAGAGTTCAATGTTGCCGCTTTCACGGATAATAATGGTCCTTTAGCACCACAGAGTCTCCGATCACTCAACATCATTGAAGTAAAGTACATGTTATTTAGGCTCCTTTGGACATATTCGCATGATCTGAGCAATACTACCGAACCGCACAAATGGGTGGCCACTTAACACTTACGTTTTCGTTAGCTATATATTTATTCGCTCTAATAAAGAAGCGGCTACGGCATGTAACAAATTTGGCGAAGTGTCAATTTGAAGACTTTCACTAGAATTCGGTATTACTTTCTTTTTTCCTTGCATTACTTTCTTACATCTGAATTTCCTAAGCATTACGTATGAAGCTAAAAGCAACGTCAGATATACAGCTTAAAATATTCTTGAAACATTACTATATGCTGTTTGTTTTTTTCGAGCAAGCGCTTGAAGTGTAAAGATTGAAATATTTTTCGAGATATGGAAGACGAATTGATATTACATATTGCTGTTTTGAAAGGGCCAGCACTTCAATACGCTAACCCAATCTCAGACTTTTTAAATATCTCCCTCTATTCCATCAATTAAGAAGGTGACTGGTTAGAACTGAAGATTTCCTAGCAAGTTCTTTGGGCGTCTGTAAATTGGGGACAAGTGTTTGCACGTTCTTACACAGAAAATGAAGGAACTCCTCGCTGAGGCAGCGCAGTCCGAAGAACTGGCGAGCGCCGACTGCTTGGTGGTAATTATGATGTCACACGGAGACCAGAACATGATTGAGGGTGTGGATGGTGACGAGCTCCACCTGGTCAATGACGTCTACGCGCAGTTCAACAATGACAATTGTCCGGCCCTGCGAGGCAAGCCCAAGCTGTTCTTTATCCAGGCATGCCGGGGAGGTGTGTAACATACATTCAACTGTTCCTAGTAGCCCTGCGGTCACATAATGCTAACTTTCCATACAAGTAACTCCTCACCTTCGCAACCAGGTTGTACGTCCCTTTAGTGCCATTACAGCATTTCGAAACACTACGGTTACTAACTAACAAAAAATAACTACATGTGTCGTCTTCATTCATAACAGTGTGACAAAACAAAAGCTTCACACTCGAGGTTACCGTTCATCGTGACAGTATTGAGGGAGAAATGTAGCGAACGCTTGATGTGGTATACGTGTGAATGCCGCCCATCACGACCATCTCTTTGAGGGATGTCTACAAAGTTTCAATGTATATAAAACAAATTAGAGCCAAGAAATTTTATAGTTTAGCCAGAAGCTAGCGATAAGGTCACGCTTCTGGTGCAATAACTATGCCCGTTTCATTTCGATAAAAAAATGCAAAGTTTTCTTTATGGAAATACAAACTATAGTGTTGTATTGGTCCTATACAGTAATCATCACTGACATTAAATGAAAAACTTTTAACACTCGTTATGACGTCGTGCAGGTTTACAAATTGTCTTATGCTATAACAAATATTACGTCGTTTTACAGCTCTTGCAGTGTTTAAAAAAAAAAGGCCAGACGCAGCACCGTATAGCGGGAATCGAAATAGGTACAGTGCAAGTTTGTTCGTCCTAACTTTTGCAGGGACTGGTCATAACTTGTACCCTCTCATGCAATCCTTCCTCGGACGACGAGCAAGTCTGAGCGGTGAATATTCTTGAGTAACACCCCTTTTCTAATCCTTAGAAATACCATGGTCATCAGAGATATTATTTGTAATGACATTATGTACAGCGTGCACCAGGCCATGAGAAAGGCGACAGCGTCTTGTACTAATCTGTTCTCCCTTCGCCTACTCTACTCCATCATCACGCTGATACAGAAGGCTAAGGAGAGTGAAAAAAATAAAAAAAAACAAGTTCCAGGTTGAGATTTCCACTGCCCAGTTGTCTTTTTTTTTGTCGCACGTACTGGCATTCCAACATCGTAGAAATAGCGGTAAATATCCTCCGCGTGGCCACCATTGACACGCCAGTACGTGCGGCAAAAGACGACAGCTGGATGGCGACTATTTTAAAGACGCCAATATTTGGTCTGTCATTTGCTTTATTGTCCACGCTAACGATCACCCTAACGGCACCAAACTATACCTCAAACAGTCAACGCCATCCGCAGCGCCCACAAATATTTCTCATGTTTCAGCGCTTATACTTGTGCGATTGTAAATTAATAAATCGGCCCCGTATCTGCATGTTATTATGCAAATGTCGTCGAAAAACGACAGTCTTGCGTCTGGAGAGAGTGAAAAAACTTTTATTTGATGTTCTGCGCAAGCAAATATGGGAATGGTATTCTGGAGGCACTACTTTAGAGTGCCTCGAGCGTGCAGGAGAGACGAATGAGCGCATCAAGTCACGTCACACGTGACACATTAGCGCTATCTGGTAGTTATCTTGAAAAACGAAGCGCGCGCGCCCTGCGCGCCCACCTCGGAGGTGATAAGGTGTAGGATGCAAGGCGACGGGTATGTGCCACCACCGTGTTGTCTTAGCAAAGCGTTAGAAACACTTGCCTATGCGAACAAGCGTTTCATGGTCAGCCCAGCGTGATAAACGCAGCGGTCCTTAGAGTTACTTATGTATGCCTTTTCTAGTAAAAAAATACAGACACATAATATTGACGTGTTTTTATGGTGCCTCAGATATGCGCAATAATTGCTTTTTAATTGACAATCGCACAAGTATGAACACTGAACATTGAGCAATATTGGTGGGCGCTGCAGATGGGATCGGCTGTTTGTAGTATCGATTCGTCCCTTTGGTGCCGTTTAAGTTACCGTTAAAGGTGGACAAATATTCAAACGTTCAGACAGACAGAGAGACCAAAATTTCTGCGTTGAAGTTCCCCAAGAAAGACTGTCGTCTTTAAAAGCAATTATTGCGCTTATCTCAGACACCACAGAACACGTCGATGCCTTGTATGTGCGCCTTTATACTAGAATAGGTACACACAAGTAATTATAAGGACCTTGGCGTTTATTACGCGGCGCTGACAGTGCAACTCGATGCTCAAAAAGGCAAGTGTTTCCAACGCTTTGTTAAGACAACATGGTGGTGGCACCTGCCCATCGCTTTTCATTTTACTCCATATTGCCTCCAAGACAGGCGCGCATCTTTCTCTGCGGGCGCGCACGCCTTCCTTCCTTTAGAAGATAAATGACAGATGGCGCTCATGTCTACCGTGCCTTAAGGTTCATAGATGAAAGAAGTTTCCAAGGTAGCGACATCTTTCCCTTTCCTTCTCACCTATGTTTCTGCAGCGCCCCCAAGAAGGTTCAAAACTTTCATAAAAAAGCGAATGCTTGGGTTCAGTTCCTATAGTGAATAGATGCAAACGAAACAAATTGGAACAAAATGAGTCCTATAATAAACGGTTACCTTTATGAACATAAATCGTACAACACAAAAGCAAGCGAGATGTGCATTGCTCAACTGTCAACGTTGTGCAGTTCTATATTTTACACCACTAGGCATGGCGTCTCGCGTCGTACATCGTAGTCCGTCCAGTTTTAACTAGTCCACTTCTCTGAATGTGTTTTTTTCGCGCTCCGACACAGTGAACGCGCTTCTTGCTGGACCTTGTCAGTTACCCTAGGGAATAACTTTGTGACTAGTGAATACAGAGTGCTTGTGCCCATGCAAGAAAAAAGAATAACCAGAGTGGTACGAACGCATTCTGGGGCGGTTCCCGGAATTTCCTGAAAAGTTAGAGATCTACTGGTGATTTCTGGGGCGGTTCCCGGAATTTTCTGAAAAGTTAGAGATCTACTGGTGAGGTTTCTTGAAGAAGCGCGTTTCGGCTCGAGCGTGAACTGTTCATGCTCGAAATCTAACGAAAGGTGCGTTGATTACACCCTCCATCTGTTGACAAGTATTTATACCAACTAGAAGGCACAAACGCGCATTAGAACGGTGTTTGGCATTTCAATAAGAACCGACAAATAAACTCGCTTTGCAGATCCGCGTTGACGTACCTTGACGGAGTTGCATGAAAGCATTCGCGTGAAATGTTTCATAGCTACACTTCATGGTGTGCTTCATCTCGGAAAGCACGAGGTAAGGCGAAGGTAGCGGAACCGTTTTGTGTTATTTTACCTCAACTCAGCATTGTTGCAAAACGTGGATGTTGCATTGAACAAGAGCCGCGAAACAATCTTGGTCGACTTGGCGCACAATGAGACGCTCGTTCTCTTCACTTTATGTCCTGGCTACGATTTCGTCTTTGGTCGCGGCGAGAACCCGATTGAAGCCATATGCGCATGCGTACTCGTTTTGAACCTTTCGCATAATAATAAATAACACCACGAGCCATTTACAAGATTACGTGCAATGAATGCACTATTTACAGATGCGGATGGCAGAAAAAAGCAAAAAGCAGGGGTAAGCGAAAGAGTGAGCAGGATGGCTCGAAACAATGAGTGATGCTACCTTGAAAACTAGTTTCATCTACTGACCTTAACGTGCATTGCTGCGCTCGTTCGCCTTTGCTGCACGGATCGAGACTCTCTAACGCAGCGCCTCCAGAATACAATTCACCAATTTTCTTGCGCAGAACATCAAATAAACGTTTCGTTCACTCTCTGCACACACAACACTATCATCTTTTGACGATATTTGCAGTGAAACATGCAAACATGGGGCCAATTTTTAGCACTCAAGTGACTTCGTTATTGTGTTATCTTCAAACCCCTTGCCCTCCCCTTATCCATGTGTTGAACAGGTTGAGTGCGCGAGGGAACACTGGCTAGAAGAGAAGAACCGCCACTTTTTTTTCACTTTTCGAGCTAGCGGTGACTACAGGTATTGTAAGCTCCAAAATTATCGGTTGGTGGAAACGCATCTGGCCAACCACATTTTGATGCCGCGCATTCAAATTCCAGCAGCCGTGAGGTCCCAAACTACTCATAATTTTCATCAACTAGAGGAAAGAAGAATAAAGGACAATGGGTATCGAAGTAGCTAATACATTTTTATAGTGCTACCTGTCTAAAAAAGCAATCAAAAAGGCTTAGGTACCTAAATTAGGCAAAGCACAATGCACATCTTTGCATTCCTCACGAAGTGCATTGCAACTGCATGCCAAAAGACCGTGCCATTTGATGTTGCGGACCATTTCAATTCGCTCATCCTCAAACTTAAGCATGATACCAATAACAAGAGAGATTTATTTTGGTCGAAAACTTACGGCTTCAGTATTGCTTTTGTTCACTTCCAAGCAATCTTGTGGTGACCACTAGCACATGTGTTGCAAGAACTTGTCTCCTACGGAACATAACTCATTTTTCCTGCTAACCGTAAGAAGCGAAGCAAGGTCGTCCGAGTAGGCAGTACACTGGTTACTTTGCTGTGATGTACATTCCAGCTAGCAAGTTTATTGTTACATGATCTTTTATCTCTGTTCCTTCTTTCTCATTCCACCTTCCTGCCATCCTTCAACGTGGTCCCGCGATCACCCTTCGTAGAGTCTGACTCCACGCTTCCCGAGCACCTTACGACAATTCACTATTTTCGCCAAGCATTTTATTGTCGGCCAGCTTGTGTCAGGCCAACGATCGCGCTCATAGCCCCACAACCACGCAAAACGCATTCTTGAATCATGGTGTATCAAACAAAATACACAAGCTCTAAAGTTGGAGACCACTTGAACCATTTGTTTAGTAACATTTTGGGCTTCAGATTTCCAGCAAACATTCCAGGAGATATCCAGCAAACACGGCCAATAACTTGAGCAAGCCCTTACTACGTTAAACGTTCAAATTAAACGCGTCCATTTCCAGAGTATGAATCTGTAAAGTTTCCCACCGCAGCTGTCATGAAAACCTATATTTCCGTTTTCTGGTTGTCCTGAATTTCAGCGTAACTTCAGGGTGCTTTCTGGGTGAGCTAATATTTC